GCCACAAGCCGGTCCTAGTGGTATGCAGGCAAAATGTACCAGAGAGAGTATATCGCTAACCCCAGAGAGGTCATCACTACCTGATGTTATAATGGAAGGGGACTCCCCTTCCAATCACTAACCCCTTTCCTCCTCACCATCTTCCATACACCAACAAGAATAATCAATAAAGGTAAGCAATAACTTGTACATATTTTAGTACTAAAGATTTGGGTGAATTAGGTAGAAAATTTACTTTAAAGTTAATTTTTTTTGGAGTGTGGAATGTATTAATTCACTTTACATTATTTCTTATGAGATAATTCGCTTTGGTTTACAAATTTTTGGGTTACACACCGTCTCTGGGAACGGATTAAATTTGTAAGGTACCACTGTACAGGTATTATATATTATAATAAACCCATTTTACAAATGATAAAAAATTATAAACCCATGGAACTGCCTAACCATTGAAGCTGTAAATGCCAAAACTCTTGTTAAATTATAAAATCCACCTGGAAAAAATCCTCAGGGCAAATGGGGGATGACCATTGACAATCCACCAGCTTTCTGTCCTCGTCAAGGCGACTAGTGTGTTAATGGCCCATCAGGTAAATGGCTGGCCTTATTATATCACAGTTTCTAGCTGAAAAGCTGTGAAGTTAATGGTGGATCATTACTTGGAAATCATTTTCTTTTCAATCTCTTGCAAGTTTGTATTTTTATTTAGCCTTTCTGGCATGTATTATTATACCCTATACATAAGATGGTATAGGGTATAATAATACACAATACGCTATACATTTGTCAGTTTCTTGGCCATTTTTGAAATTCAAGTACAGTAGATCCTTTTGCAAGGCCTCCATATTATTTTCGCTCCCCACTTTCCAGTAGATCTTTGTGTCGAAGCACACAGTACAGTATCAGACAACACATTCTAAACTGGAAATGGCTGATAGAAAACAGAAATTCAGTACAAATTAAGTGAAGTCAGAGTAGATAGATGTCACTAGTGGTGTGCCACAAGGCTCTGTACTGAGCCAACTGCTGTTCTAAACCTAAAAAAAATGACTGGTATACTGGAGTGACCAGTAAAATCAGGAAATTTGCAGACTAATCAAAGATTGGGCATGTAGTAAAGACAAAAGAAGTCATGAACTGCAAAGCCAAACTCCAGTGCTGGGTAAAAAAATTACAAATGAACCTTATGTTGAGAAATGCTTGGGAAACCTTGGTAAATGCAGAGATGCTATGTACCGCATCAATAATACACTTATGGGCAGAACAAATTGTGACTGACTTGGGAGTCATGGTTAAAATTATCTAAATCCAAGATCTAAGTCCATCAGTGCACAGAATGAAGATAGCAGGTTGCTGGAATTTCTAACACCTATCACCAACAGAAGCACAAATATCATCCTTCGCAGGTCTGTGTCTAGCACAGGTAAAGCCCATCTTGTACAATGCTGTTTAGTTATGGTCCTTATAGTAGAGAACGGATGTAGATTATTAATAAAAATACAAAGAAGAATGACAAAAATACAGAGGAAAGATACCTGGTATGGGAGAGTTTTCCTACGGTCAATATAATATGCACTTCTTAGAGAGATGCAGGATAATGGGGGGGGGGGGAATGGAGGATATGGTCAAGGTTTTCAAGCAGGTTAGGGAAACAGGGTTCTACAAATTTTGAAAAAGAGGTCACACCCACAACAATGGGTAAAAGCTGGTTATGGAAGAATGGAATGGTCTGCTAGCTAACACTATTGAGAGGAAGTTAACAGGTTTCAAGAACAGAGTGGATACTCAAGTAAGAGGGGATGGATTTAAATGGGAACTGCCTAGTATGGGCCAACAGGCCTGTTGCAATGCTCCCTAGTTCTTATGTTATGTCATTAATGAATACTGTGTACTTGTATTACTGTATATGAAAAGTTGCACCAAAATAGAACCTTTCAGTATTCTCAGCATTTCTCCACTTTTTTTTCTAATACAAATAGAGCAACCCTTTGCTTTGTATTTTAACCATTACTGTACAATAATTTACCATTGATTACATGTGCTTATAGCTTTTGGGCCGAGTCTTTCATGTAGTACTGTAAATTATCACAAGCTTCAGAGGTCTTAAACCATGCATCAACTGTTTCCATAAATGTGTTAAGGTTTGTAAAGCAGGAATCGGTTTAGACAAAACTGTTGAATGATGCTTTTACAAGACTGAACAGAGGGAATGGATGGATGATGTATACCCTTAGAATTCTTTCCATAAGCTTTCTGATGTGTGGTTAGGCTGATTAGTCTATAGGTAGAGATACAGTTTATTGGCAAGTTCTTTTATGATTGTGGATTGAATTCTATTAACACCTAAAGCTCTTAACTTGCCAATGCACTTGATTATTACATATGTAATGGAGAAACAGTATCCCTTAACTCATTCTTTTTCCTGCTTCAAACACATGTGAGGGTGTCGAGATGTCTAATCTTTCTAGTGTGACGACCAATGATGTAACGTATTCATTCAGGAACAGCTGCTCATTTTACCATCCATTATAACTTGGTTTCGTCTTTCAAGGGTTCTCTTACAACTTTTAGTTTTACTTCTTGTATAGGCTACGCATGTAGACTTTGTATCTTTCCTTGCTATTCTGTGCAAACTTTCTTTAGGTTGATCCAATCTCCCTCGTCGGAAGCCTGGTCGGAGACCGGGCCGCTGGGCCTGGTCTCTGACCAGGCTTCCGGCTTATTATTTTAACAAATAATAAGACCAGGCTTATTATTTTAACAAATAATAAATAAAATTACTGTATTTGTTAGATTAAGGACCTGCCTGAAACGCTGCGCGTACTAGTGGCTTTATAAGAATGTAATCACTATGTTATGTATCCTTACAAACCCAATGTACCTTCTTGTATATAAATAAATAAATAAAATAAGGGTAGACACAAGGTAGGTAAGGTAGTGGCTGCATTCCAAGCCCTTTTGTACATCACACTATGTGATTAGTGGTGAATTTATACTTCATCGGCCATCGACAGTAAGCCGATGTCCGCTCGGCTTACGCCCATATCCGCTCGGCTTAAGCCGATGTCCACTCGTGCCGCTCGTGTGTCCAGCCGATATCCGCTCGGCTGCCGGCCGCTGGACAGCATGCTGGACACGTGATTCTGTGGTCCCAGGTTCGATCCCAGGTGCCGGCGAGAAACGATGGGCAGAGTTTCTTTCACCCTATGCCTCTGTTACCTAGTAGTAAATAGGTACCTGGGAGTTAGTAAGCTGTCACAGGCTGCTTCCTGGAGGTGGAGGCCTGGTCGAGGAACGGACCGCAGGGACACTAAAAAGCCCCGAAATAAACTCAAGATAACCTCAAGATAGATAACCATCCAGAATTTGATATAGTTCTTATAGCTTGTTTTACCAACTGCCATCCATCTGGGCCCTTTTCATTACTACCTCTTCTTGGCATATACTTGTACAAGCTCAGTGAGGATCTTCATGAAGATCATGCTTCAATGCTATTAGGACTCCACAAGGTATCTTGCAGTTCATCTCTTATTCTATGATAACCTCCTCAATAGTAATCATAAGTCATTATCCTGGACCTCTATATGGGTATCTTTTGTTGTATTCTGTCTGAAAATATAACGGTCACTGATACTATATGGTACTGCTGTATGGTATGATCTTACTGTACACATGCCTGCTGGGTATGATCTTACTGTACACATGCCTGCTGGGTATGATCTTACTGTACACATGCCTGCTGGGTATGATCTTACTGTACACATGCCTGCTGGGTATGATCTTACTGTACACATGCTTGCTGGGTATGATCTTACTGTACACATGCCTGCTGGGTATGATCTTACTGTACACATGCCTGCTGGGTATGATCTTACTGTACACATGCCTGCTGGGTATGATCTTACTGTACACATGCCTGCTGGGTATGATCTTACTGTACACAGGCCTGCTGCCTGTGATCATATTGTGCACAGGCCTACTGGAATGCTCACATCGTTCACAGGGCTACTGGGATAATCACATCATTCACAGACCTACTGGGAATCATCACATCATTTACAGGGCTACTGTGAATGATCACATCATTCATAGGACTACTGGGAATGATCACATCATTCATAGGACTACTGGGAATGATCACATCATTCACAGGACTACTGGGAATGATCACATCATTCACAGGACTACTGGGAATGATCACATCATTCACAGGACTACTGGGAATGATCACATCATTCACAGGACTACTGGGAATGATCACATCATTCACAGGACTACTGGGAATGATCACATCATTCACAGGACTACTGGGAATGATCACATCATTCACAGGACTACTGGGAATGATCACATCATTCACAGGACTACTGGGAATGATCACATCATTCACAGGACTACTGGGAATGATCACATCATTCACAGGACTACTGGGAATGATCACATCATTCATAGGACTACTGGGTATAATCACATCATTCATAGGACTACTGGGTATAATCACATCATACACAGGCCTATTGGAAATAATGGAATGATCAGATCGTACACACAAGTGATACTGGTTGTTTAATCCAACACTACATTTGTAAAACTTCATATATTAGTTGCCATGCACACTTCTTCCATAGAATACCCTTAACATTATTAGTATATTATTTATATATATATACAGTATATGATAGGCTTTGAAGACCATATGAGAACTATTCTGTAGAGTATAGTTCTGTACTATACTGTACCCTTACGGTACAGGTTCGTATACTCCTTCCCCCCCCCCTGTGTCCCACAGGGTCTGTGCTCACAAAAATTAACTGTTTCATTCCACATGGTGTGAGCTGAGCACCGTAGCGAGAGAAAGGAGAGGGTGAGGACCGTCACCCTGGGACCATTAAGGGGGGTGGTTCTTGACAGCAACACCCTAGGCCAGCCCCCTGTGGCTCTTCTCACCCTCTGGGGCACCCCCACCCGCAGGTCACACCCACCTTCCTCCGCCCGCTTACCCGAGTCTCCTATGATGAGTAACTTGAAGAGGTGGTCGTACTCTTTAGACATGGTGAATCACACCACATACACCGCCCTGGTCGCTCTTGTTATTGTCTCCTTGGGTGATTCATGGAGCTCACTGACGCAAGCTTTCTCAAACCTCTCGCTCCACACACTCTCCTCGCTCTGCTCTCACGTCTGCGACCAGCCTATAGGCCTGGGTTTGTCCCTGGCGCTCTCCTGGGACGCGATATATAATTCCGTGGGTGCACGACAGATTTCGGGAAACGTTGCGTTATTAATATAGTCCTTTGGAAGCCCCGTGACAGACCCACCCAACCGCTGGCCATCCGCGCCTCCGTAGCCCTCGCTATGACCCTGGCTTCTGTCTCCTTCACGCATCATTAACATTGCCTATGTTATTCAGCAAGACAGATTTTACGCATCAAAGTGTCATTATCTTTCGAAGAATGTTGTAATAGTGGTTATATGTCGCAGATATTTATACCCAGCGGTCTTGGCTAGAGGGTTTCCACCCGCTTATCTTGTCCGAACACCGTTCCAATGATAACTCGGTAGGAGGCATCTGGAAGAAAAAAAACTATATATATATTCCATGAATTGGGGAGAATAGATGTCTATGGGAAGGACCTGCATCGACAGGGCCCTCAGACTCCTCCTACACTGTGGCAAACATACGCACAGACATATACATCCACATAACCCAGCATCAACTGGGACCACTACATACACACACACACACACACAGCTGCGCCAACCAAAAACTTTGATTAAAGTCAGTAATTTGTGGTCTTAACGATCATCTCATTACATCAAGCACGCAACACAAGGAGCTCGTACCCAACCAGTCCCCAATGATAATAAAAGTATAACTTTCTCGTGAATTGCAGTAGACGACGGTTACCTAGTGTGAAGGTAAAATAAATGATTTGCAAAAACGATTTAAACAGGAATTAATAATTATCTTCTACTCACTGAAAACACATAAACAGAATAGCTTCCTCTGATGCCTATATTATTAACATTATTATATATGTGGTTATTGTTTTATTTTATATACATGCTTCTCTTGACTGTAATTTTGTTATCTATGTTTATTTGTTACATTAGAACTCATTTATGCAATTGCAAGTCACTGCTTATTTCCTTCTATTCTTTCATGTGTGCGCGTCTCCATAATTGGTAAGTGTACATATGTACGTATGTCCGTTTGAGTACGTCCTTGCTAAATTTTTGTCTTTTTAATTGTTTGCGTACTTGAGTGTAGTTGCATGCTACTGTGCATGATTTAGTGTGTCCTTACAGAGTGCACCCGCCTTATTGTGCACGATAAAGTGCGTCTGTACGTGTATGAATGCGTCAGTTTCCGTTTGAGTGCATATATGTTCACAAATGTGTGCGATCTCGTCCCTTTAAATGTCCGAGTGTGGCTATGTCCCTTAAAACAAAGTCAATTGCCCTCGCGGAGATACCAACTCTAATTTACAAAAAAAGTCTCCAGATTTTTTAGCTCCTGCCATAGCATTGCTCTACAACAAGTCACTTGAACTTCAAACTTTTCCAGATATTCTAAAAAAAAGCGATAGTAACCCTCGTTCATAAATGTGGTGATCTCACTGACGTCAACAATTTCAGACATATATCACTTCTGCCAAACTTGTCAAAAATATTTGGAAAACTAATCTACAAGCAGCTTTACTCTTATCTAGCCGAAAACAATATACTTAGCTCTTCCCAATATGGCTTCAGACCACAAAAAAGCACCAACGATGCACTGATCAGTATGATTAACTTGATACATGCAGCTCTTGATAAAAATGAGTTGCCTGTTGGGATATTTGTTGATCTACGTAAGGCTTTTGACACTGTTAACCACCAAAACCTTCTTCTTAAATTACATAATTATGGAGTCAGAGGTGCACTCCCTCCAAAATCTTCAGTCTTACCTTACTGACAGGCTCCAGTATGTTTCTGTGAATAATTCCATTTCTCCCACCCTACCCATCAACATTGGTGTTCCTCAGGGCAGCATACTTGGCCCTTTCCTCTTTCTCATCTACATTAATGACCTTCCAAATGCCTTTCAACACCTCAAACCAATTCTACTTGCTGACGACACAACCTTCCTTTTCTCCAGTCCTGACCCTCTTGCTCTAAATGACACATGAATACTGAACTAAATAAAGTCCATCACTGGCTAACTGCCAACAAACTCACCCTTAACATTGACAAAACTTTCTATATTTTGTTTAGCAATAAATCCTCAGATCAAATTAATCTAATAATAAACAATACCCAAATTAGTAAGAAAGTAGATGGCAAATTGTTTGGTGTTCTCATCGACATCAAGCTGAATTTCCAGGGACACATTCTAAAGTTATCAAAAAAGTTTATAAAACTGTTGGCATTCTTTCTAAGATCAGATATTATGTACCTCGCCCTGGCCTGGTAACGCTCTATTACTCTCTCATCTATCCTTATCTCAATTGTGGTATTTGTGCTTGGGGTTCTACTACCCAAAATCATTTACGTCCTCTCCTCTAATTACTCAACACAAAGCTGCTATTAGAACAATATCTAACTCTGGCCCCAGACATCACTCGGTACCCTTACTCAAATCTTTGACTATGTTAGATATTAAGTCACTGCACATCCTCTCATGTGTACTCTATATATTTAAAACTCTGAACTGCAATGTCAATCCTTACTTTAGAAGCTTCCTAGAAGGTTGTGACAGAACTCATGGGCACCACACCAGAAACAAATGCCTATTTGATATTCCAAGAGTGCGACTTAACCAAACTAGAAAGGCTGAACAAATCAAGGGACCCAGAATGTGGAATGACCTCCCAAATCATGTCAAAGGCTATGCCACTCTTAACCAGTTTAAGAGTAAAACTAAGTACTACCTAATTAACTCCATGTAACCTACTTTACCCCCTAAATGTCAACCCATGTCTTGCTTTTTTAAACAATGCTGTTTGTTTGCCAATTTGTACAATTGATGATTTCTGCCATGTTCCCCCCCCCCTTTTTGTATTCCTTTTTTCAACACAATTTATACCTAATCCAAATTATATAAAGTTTTAGTCTAAGTTTTTTACCTCCACACCTTGCCCGAAACGCTATGTGTATTAGTGGCTTTCGGTATTGTATGTACTAGCTCTATCTATAAATCCGACTCAAATTCAAATTCAAATTCAAATTCAAATGTTTATTCAGGTAAAGTACATACATACAAGGTGTGATACAAACATTGATGGATTTATAGATAGAGCTAGTACATACAATGCCTAAAGCCACTATTATGCAAAGCGTTTCGGGCAGGAAAAACACTAAAGACTAAAACTTAATACTAATTGAGATTAAAGTATAAATTGTGTTGAGAAAATATAAAAATAAAAAAGGGGGAACATGGCAGAAAAAAAAGCAAATATACAATTTGGTCGACAAAAGCATTGTTTAAAATAGCAGACAGTGGGTTTACATTAAGGGGTAAGGTAGGTTACAGGGAGTTAATTAGGTAGTGCTTAGTTTTTATCTTAAACTGGTTGAGAGAGGTACAGTCTTTAACATGATTGGGAAGGTCATTCCACATTCTGGGTCCCTTGCTTTGTAGAGCATTTCTAGTTTGATTAAGTCGTACTCTTGGAATATCAAATAGGTATTTGTTTCTGGTGTGGTGCTCATGGGATCTGTTACAACCTTCTAAGAAGCTTTTAAGGTCAGGACTGACGTTACAATTCAGAGTTTTAAATATATTGAGTACACATGAGAGGATGTGCAGTGACTTAATATCTAACATATTCAGAGATTTGAGTAAACGGAAGATGAGAACACATAAGGGGCATAACTGGCAAACCCCTCACAGTGTTCAAGAGAGAACTGGATAAGTACCTCCAAAGGATACCTGATCAACCAGGCTGTGACTCATACGTCAGGCTGCGAGCAGCCGCGTCCAACAGCCTGGTTGATCAGTCCAGCAACCAGGAGGCCTGGTCGACGACCGGGCCGCGGGAACGCTAAGCCCCGGAAGCACCTCAAGGTAACCTCAAGGGTACCGAGTGCTGTCTGGGGCCAGATTTTGATATTGTTCTAAGAGAAGCTTTGTGTTGAGTAATTAGAGGACGTAAATGATTTTGTGTACAAGAACCCCAAGCACAAATACCATAGTTGAGATAAGGATAGATGAGAGAGTAATAGAGCGTCACCAGGGCAGGGCGAGGTACATAATATCTGATATTAGAAAGAATGCCAACAGTTTTCGAAACTTTTTTTGCTATATTTAGAACGTGCCCCTGGAAATTCAGCTTGTTATCGATGAGGACACCAAGGAATTTACCATCAACTTTACTACTGATTTGTATGTTGTTTATTCTTAGATTCATTTTATTTGAGGATTTATTACCAAACAAAATATAGAAAGTTTTGTCAAGTTTTGTTAAGGGTGAGTTTGTTAGCAGTTATCCAAAGATGGACTTTATTTAGTTCAGTATTCACAGTGACATTTAGAGCAAGCGGGTCAGGCCTGGAGAAAATGAAAGTTGTGTCATCAGCAAATAAGATTGGCTTCAAGTGTTGAGAGGGATTTGGAAGGTCATTAATGTAGATGAGAAAGAGGAGAGGGCCAAGTATGCTGCCCTGTGGAACACCAATGTTTACGGGTAATGTAGTTGGTATACTCTCCAAAATCAGATATTATGTACCTAACTCTGCCCTCATCTCTCTATATTATTCACTAATCTATCCCTATCTCAACTATGGTATCTGTGCATGGGGTTCAACCAAGTAAGATCATACCCAGCAGGCATGTGTACAGTAAGATCATACCCAGCAGGCATGTGTACAGTAAGATCATACCCAGCAGGCATGTGTACAGTAAGATCATACCCAGCAGGCCTGTGTACAGTAAGATCATACCCAGCAGGCATGTGTACAGTAAGATCATACCCAGCAGGCATGTGTACAGTAAGATCATACCCAGCAGGCATGTGTACAGTAAGATCATACCCAGCAGGCATGTGTATAGTAAGATCATACCCAGCAGGCATGTGTACAGTAAGATCATACCCAGCAGGCATGTGTACAGTAAGATCATACCCAGCAGGCATGTGTACAGTAAGATCATACCCAGCAGGCATGTGTACAGTAACATCATACCCAGCAGGCATGTGTACAGTAAGATCATACCCAGCAGGCATGTGTACAGTAAGATCATACCCAGCAGGCATGTGTATAGTAAGATCATACCCAGCAGGCATGTGTACAGTAAGATCATACCCAGCAGGCATGTGTACAGTAAGATCATACCCAGCAGGCATGTGTACAGTAAGATCATACCCAGCAGGCATGTGTAC